ACATCTTCATTATTATATTACAATATTACTTCTTCTGTTATATAGTCAGAGAAATCAGCTTCAACAACTATCTTACAATCAGAATCAAATATTATTAGTAGAGAGGTATTAATGAATATCTTCTTTATCTATATAAATACAGCTTCAGTATTCACTGATCATTGAAATACTGAGTCTTTTTTAGTGAGATCTGTAAGTGATCTCATAATATCTGAGAAGTTTCATATAAATCACTGATAGAAGTTAGTAAATTCAATGAAGCTTTGTACATCTTTCACAGTATATGAAGCTTCTCATTCAAGAATGACAGAGACTTTCTCAGAATTCATTCAAATCTTCTTACCAGCTTCTATAATAAAACTCAGATACTTGATACTCTTGACTTTAAAATCACACTTATTAATATCTATCAGTAGTTCTACTTCTTGTAGCTGTTGTAATATCTTTTATACATACTCTTGATATTCTTTTCTGAATTCATTGATGAAGATGAGAATATTATCTAGATAAGCAGATGCAAACTTATCAAGGAAATTTCAGAGTACTCAGTTGATATACTTCTGAAATATACTGAGAGTGTTAATCAGTTCAAAGAGTGTGACTATTTATTTAAAGAGGTTATAATATGTTCAGAATACTGTAAGTCATTCATCTTCTTCAGTGATATGAATCTTATGAAACATAATAATAATATCTAGTTTTATAAATCATTGAGCTCATCTGATTCATGCTAGGGTTTCATTGATAAGAGATAAGAAATATTGATCTTTCTTTATCAATCTGTTCAGATCTTGATAGTTCACACAGAATCAGAGTTCTTCATCTGGTTTCTTTGCAAAGAGAATAGAGGCTGCAGTGAAAGAGTTACTAATGTGTATGAATTCTTTATTCAACAGATCATTGAGTGTCTTTTGAAGAAGAAGAAGTTCATCTTGAGATATGTTATAAAGAGAGTCTCATGATAATTTAAAGTTCTTATCATTCTTTTTCTCTAACTTGATACTGTGATTCACTTCAGAATCTTGTAAGAAGAGTATATTCATAATATTATCTTATCAGAAGACATCTAGATATTCATGATATTATTGAGAGAGTTTTGTATGAGAATCTGTTATTATAACACAGAATAATTTTTCTAGAGTCTTTTTAATATTGATCAGACTGATAGAATAGATTGATATATAATTCTGCTATCAGTGATTCTTTCAGCAACTTCTTTTTTTAAGCATTTTATAGATGTTGACAGAGATCTGTGTCAGATTAATAGTCTTGTGAATGTCATCTTCATGGATTCTATCATTATTAGAGAATATCAAGCTTCTATTTTAAGTGTTTAATAAGATGTCTTATTCAGATAGTCAGACAAGTTCTAACATAAGATTATAATCAAGATTATCAACTTTATATACATAGACATCTTTATATTGATATTCTTTCACATCTATGATCAGCTTCATCATGTAATAGATATAAATATCTTTTAAATCATCAAATTCTGTAAGAAGTTGAGATTTTGATAAAGAGATACACTGAAGATTATGATATCTTACAACTGAAGATTTTATCATTGTATAGTGACATAAACTGCTGTCTATCATGGCTTTCATATTATATATATTATCAATCACAGTAGATATAAGAATTGCATTCATTGTCATCTTCTCTTTAAATTATTATCATTCAATCTCTTTAAGCTTCTGTTTATGAATTTGAACAGAAGCTAATCTTTTCTCTGTTTCACTGAGACATTCTCATAGTTATCTTCTGAATCTTTCTCTAATGTAATGTGATTGACACAGACAGACACTGATTCATTCTTTAAATAAGAAGATGCTGATCTTTCTCTCAAGTATAGAGACACATAGATTGATCAGCAGTTGAAAGCAATGTGTTCTAATCAGTTACAGTTGATGTATACTTCACATTGATGTTGATCAGTGACTTCTTCAGAAGTGATTTCAGAGACTCAGAAGTCTGTTCAGACAGTGAAGACTCTTGCTTATATATAGACATTTGAGTCTACTCAATTCATGACATCTGCATCATTGTTATTTCTCAGTGCAGGTGTATGAGTTACTGAAGTGTAACATCTTCTATCACTGTTCTGTATATTCTTGAGCTTGATAAGACAGTCATTCATTGTTCAGAGCTGTGTGTAGAAGTCTTTATAAGTCTGGTCTTTGTCTGTGCTTATAAGAGTCTGTAAGAGTTTGAAAGTTAATATCTTCTTGAGTATGTTAATCTTCATTCAATTCTTTCAAGATTGATTCTCTGCTTCTAGAATCTTGGTGTTGAAGTCAGAGATAAATATTGTAAGAGAAGTATTTCTCTGTCAGATACTCTATAATTAATCTAATACTTTCTATTGCATAGCAGTGTCTTAGAACAGAATATCAAGATATTTCATGATATTATCAGATGTTCATAACACTGATTCATATACTTTTATTCATGAATGAAACTTCTGTTTCACATGATCTTTCAATCATCTATTGATATATCAATCTTAATTGATTAATCAACTGATGACATCTTCATCTACATTCAGTTTTGTAAGCATTTTCATTCTTCATGATGAGTAGAGAGTGAGATCAGAAGTATTGAAATATACAGAAGTATTTAAGCATTCTTTCAGTGCTTTTATATTCAATTCTATAGATGTTGAAATCATGTGAATTAATCATTGAATCTCTTCATATTGATGTTGTTGAGTTGAATACATATTAGCTATTTATTATTGTTGTAGTTTCAACATTGCTCAGAGCCACTGTGATACTGTGTCTATACTTGTGTTCAGAGGTTCTCTCATATTATTGTTAGACATGATTATATCATTTATCAGATGTGTGATATCTGTGAAATCTGAAGAAGTGTAATCATATGAATATCTCATACATCTGAGTGTTAGAACTCTCAGGTCTTTCACTGACATTCTCTTTGTAGAATCTTATTACAGGGTCAGAGTGACTGATGAGCAGCTTCTATCTGAGAACTTGATATCTGCTTAACTGTTTCTCTATTTCTTATACATTATTATGTGTTTGAATATCTCTTGATAAATAATTGTTCCTGATGAGAAGACAATGTATGAATAATCATTTTCTAATAAGAAGATGATGAATGTTTTTATAGTGTAAAAGGTCTACACTGAATAGATCAGTATAATATTGATAGATCTTATATAACAAAGATAAAAACATTAGAGAAGGAAAGAAAGAGAAAGTGCGAGAATCAGTGATTGAGATGAATATTTATACATGTATGTGGTGGTGTACGCGGTGGAGCTTCAGAGTGGAAGAATATACACGCGTTTGTAGCGGCCGAGGATCGGTGATTGAGAATGGCTGAGAATTGAAGTGTACGTGTTCGAGAATGAAGAGTTCAAGCTGTGAGGTTACGAATAGTCTATGTATTTACG